TACTTGATTTCTGAACCTTAATGTTTCTGATAGGTACTCCATGGTTATGTACCATGCCTTGATAGTCCTCAATTATACAGGACTGGTTAGAAACTGAACGTATCCTGCTGTTAGTCACCAGCGTAGGGTGCAAATACTTCTGGAACGTTATTTGATGATCACGTCCAGCTTGAATGGATCTATCAAGAAGCTAAGAGAAAACAAGAGGTAAGAAAAGAAAACTGCCGTTGCGAAACTGTCGGTTGAAGAAACGCTACAAGTGCGATGGAGTAAATTAACAGTAGGATGGAACAGATATTTACATACAGTCTGATATGGCTTTTTCAGACGAAATAAGCTGCATTGATACGATTGGCGAATGTGACATTCGGAATTAAGAAAGCATTAAGGTATACAGTATTATCATTTTTACTGTTCGAATAAGAAACAGGTACATACTTTTCATCTTGATTGGATGTACGTGTACACATCCAGTTTATCAAAACTATCGGAGGATGTGAGTGTATCAAGCAATTTTTGTATTGCGCCTTATTTCGTCAGTAAATGCTCAGTATTAATTTGTAATACCCCTTAGATTAAACTTTAACCTTTGAGCCAGAAATTGTTCATCAAGTTTACTGCATCACAGAAACTTTTTCTGCAGATTCCAACCGTATGAAGATATAGTATTTCCACATTTCTAATCACACTACTGATGAGTAGTCAACCAAACAATCATCAAAACTGTCGTAGAATGCCCTAAAAGTGTAGGCACGTTGTTCACAAGATAGTGCCTTGAGAGGAATAAACTTGTATCAACACCTATGACGACAGCTTCTATCCGGGTCTCGAAATTCATTTATTTCGATATATTGTGAAGAATCGAATGTTTCAGAAACGGTGTTTAATTATTGGTCGATCGAGACTTACGATCCAACTATCATCAACATTCAAATTCCTTTCCTAAATGTAAAATTATGCATCCAGTTTTCAGAATAGACAAGCGTCAGCCAAAGGAATGTAATCGGATGTAACCATGTGATGTATGAAACTGACCTCGATACAAATATCGTACACTTTCAATGCATCAAATACGCAAAGTATACAATTCGAATAAATTCCGTGTACTATTCCTTTCGAAGTTATTCTATTTCAGAGATCGGTATTGTGCTAATTCCGGAGCTACATTTTGAATACTTGTTTCAATACTATATTTGGCGTCGCGGCCGGTCCACTAAACAATGAATTCGACTCCATTAGAATCCCTAGATCTTAAAGGCAGTGCACGGGATATCGAGGATTATTTTAAACGTTTTGATATCTGGTGGTTCACTCGTTTGAAGACCGATGAGGTAAAGAAATCCGCTTTCTTTTTGAATGCTGCCGGTAAAAATGCTTATACATTGATCAAGAACTTGGCTTATCCTTGTTCACCTGTTTCTGTACTACAGCATGTGAACCCTACAAACTTTGAAGCCTCAGAGAGGGCAAAATGTCATTCAATGGTACGCAATCTGAACCAGGGCATCAGTGAACTCATCATGGATTTGCTCACACAAGCTGCAAAGTATGATTTTGGTTACTTACTGCACATGCAGTTGAGAGATCAACTGAGAGCTGTTAATAACAATATTATTTTGCAAAATGAACTTCTGAAGCTATTCACTCCAACGTCTGAACATAAGCGGACCCATTGTGAACAATATCCTGATATTCGCGCCGCTACTTCATCTATGCCATCGACTATCAAATCTACAGCCATGTAAAATTCACTCAAAACCAAATCCACGAAAGTTGGTGCTACAACCGGACGATTCAAACCAGTTTCACAATCTCGCTCACACAATGTGACATATTCGGATAAGTTCTATGGTAATTGTGCATCCTGCGGCAAATGTTATTCCAAAAACACATTTCGACTCCGTTAGGCTTTATGTCACAAATGTGGCAAAACTGGTCATATTCAGTCCGTGTCGTAGTACCAAAACTTATCGTTTACTTCAATCCAAGGACTCAGAAGTGAGTAATATGGCCAAACATTTTTCTTCTTTATCTTTGGCAATTACCTCCCATTCCGGTCACATTCGTAAACAATTATTAAGTTCTACTGAAAACTCGCTTCATTTCATTTTGGACACTGGTAGTGTGGAATCTCTAATTTCTGTTCACGATTTAAAACNGTTTGCTCCAGATGCTAAACTTCAGCCGTCCACTGTCACCATAAATGGCATCACTGGACACTCACTGCCTGTTGTTGGTTCTTGTAAGATTTCAGTCAGTGATAAACATTCTAAAACTGTCACTTGCACATTCACTGTAACCAAATCTGGCCCATCCATACTAGGCTTGAAAGCCATGCAAGCATTAAATGTCAATCTCTCCTTGTTAACCTCGATCGATACTGAAAATGAACTGAAATATTTGATTATTAAATGCTCAAAGGCCAGTGGTGGCATGAAAATTTCCCCAGTGAGACTACCAGTTAATGGCGATCCAGTATTTCTCAAACGCCGAGTCATTCCATATGGCCTTCGCGAACCTGTCATGAATGCGTTGAACAACTTGTGTTCCAAAGGTGTTATAGAGAAGGTGGCGTCTTCAGCATGGGGTACACCAATCGTCACACCACTCAAGTCGGATAGCAAGACCCCGAGAATATGTGGTGACTACCGAATCATCTTAAATCCAAGACTGCTAAAGCAGACATGTACAACAGTTGAACCAAGGGACATTGTAAATGATTTGACTGGTTCTAAGGTCTTTTCCAAGATTGACTTGAAAGATGCTCACCTACAAATCCCGTTGGACGAAACCTCATCTACTTTGACCATTAATAATATCCCTTTTGATTTTATATAGATACAAGTTTTGCCGTTTGGTTTATCCATTTCTCCTGCCGTAATTCAACAATTTATGAATGACATTACTAGTGGTTTGTCTGGTATTGAAGTATATCAGGATGACATTATTGTTCATGCTCCTGACAAGTCCACTTATGATGCACGACTGCTTGAACTCTTTCGTCGATTTTCTGATAAGAATGTTGCTGTTAATCCTAAGAAGTGTTTATTTTCCGTTTCTCATTTTGAATGTCTTGGATACTTAGTTGATGGTAAAGGTTACAAACCTGACCCGAACCGTCTATTTCCTCTAACAAAAGCCAAATCACCGTCGAACATACAGGAACTCGGATCATTGAGTGGGGCCCTACATTATAGCTCTAGATTTATCCCTAATTTCAGTCAAAAAGCTTTACCGCTATTTCTTATCTCTTCGTCTGACAGATTTGTTTGGACTGATGCTCATGAACATTACTTACGTGAATTGCTAAATTTTCTGCAGACTGATGCTGTACTTCACGCATTTAATCCCAAAATTCATTCCACTGTTATTATTGATGTATCACCCGATGGAATTGGTGCCATTCTTTGACAGAATGGGCACCCAATTATTTGTGTGTCTCACCGGTTAACAGCAGCTGAACGAGGCTATGCTCAAACTCATCGTGAAGCCTTAGCTGTATATTGGGCGGTCAAGCGCCTCCACAAGTTCCTTTTCGGCCATCATTTCACCATCGTTAATGATCATGAGGCCTTGAAATTCATTTTCGATCCCGGAAAATCCCTTTCCAGAAGGTCTGCAGCTATGGTTTAGCGTTGGAGTATCGCACTCAGTGCATATGATTACACAATTGAACATCGTAGTGCCAAATACATCCGACACGTGGATTACATTTCGCGTCAGTCGCTACCCGCGTCGGAGCCAGAGGACGTTTCTGATTCACTACTAGTACAACCTCTTCCTGTGAGCCGCCAAGAACTTATTCGTGACACACGTCGTTATTTCTCTGCTGTGATGACTGCCTTGCGGAAGTGTTGGAACGCCCAGACCCGGAAGCGATTTCCACATCACTATACTAGACGTGGTGAACTTTCAATTACGCCTGATGGATTGCTGTGCTTGAATGACAGAGTTGTCGTTCCACCGACGTTGTGTAAAGCTGTACTTGATGACCTACATTCCGGTCATCTTGGGATAGAAAAGATGAAGTCATTGGCTCGATTAACTTGTTGGTGGCCGAACATGGATGCTGACATATGTTCCAAAGCTAAGAGCTGCCCTAAATGCTACCACAAAGTTCGACAGTTGCCATCCAAGTGGGTTCCGTGGCCTGTTTCAACTGAGGCGTGGCAACGTGTTCATGCGGATTATTGTGGTCCATTTCTCAACGGAATGTATGCTCTTGTTGTCATTGATTCCTTCTCCAAGTGGCCAGAGGTATTTTTCACTAAGTCACCTTCATCAGATTTTACTATTCATGCTTTGCGTAAAGTTTTCAGTCGGGAAGGTATTCCTGCTGTACTTGTTACTGATAATGGTAGTCACTTCTCCGCGAAAAGTGTTTCAGAATGGCTACATAACATTGGCTGCAAACATTTGTTTACTGCTCCTAGACATCCTTGCTCTAATGGACAAGCAGAGAATTTTGTTAGAACACTCAAAAGTGCTATTACTGCTTTGAATCCATCCACATTTTCTGAACTTGAGAGAGGTGTTGATTTGTTTCTTTTACAGTATCGTAATTCTGTTCATTCATCCACTAAAGAGACACCTGCTAAACTTTCAAAAGGTCGAAATTTGAGATCCAATCTATTGTGTGTTAATGCTTCTGAAGTTGTATTTTTCCGTGGCAATGATCTAAAACCCTCCTCAGGAATTGTCCTAAAGTCTTTAGGTAGGAGAATGCTTCAACTACTCGACACGGAAGACATGTGGATCAAATTCGTTTTAACAATCCAAGTCAGTTTGTTTCATTTCATGATGAAAATTCCGAGTCTAATAATGTTTCTTTCTATAAGGAGCAACTCGATACTACTGATGAACAGAATGTCAAACAGCAAGCTGCTACAGAAGAATTATCTGTGAATGAATGAGCCCTACGAAGGTCTGAACGACCAAGTGCGAAGCTGTGGTAACACGGCACCTTCACCTTTTGCCTACGAGTTCTTTTCTACTGGAAACAAGCTTTTATTTTACCAGGTGTAATTACCTGTTTACGCTCAATCGCGGAATTATCACTTGTCGCAGTGAGTCATGCTACCTCATTGCACGTGTACACCTTTCGCTACAGGCCTCGCTCTATAAACCGTCTGTCATGCGTTGTCCGTCTTCTTAACTGTTCAGAGAAATAGTCAGAGAAATAGTAATGCTGTTCATTGTATCCAGGAACGTTAAGTTAATTCGCGTTTAGTTATCGTAGATAGTGCAAGTGATCTAAAGTGGTGAGACCGTACGTTTTTATGGGCCACAATAATTTTTTCGGCATTTCATACCCTTTTACGGTTTATCGTTTTTTTTGATCGTTCATTTCTAGCACACTAGCATTTGCACTCTGTTCTCGGTGTTTATTTTCCATACGCAACGTTTACCATATACTCATAATGTTCGAAGAATATAAACCTGTCGTAGGGGTAATCCTTTTTCCCTATTCCAGGTTAAGCTGTCACTAAGTCGTCGGTATGGTTTACCGTTTTCCAGCAAGCGCTGCGCAAAAAAGGGATAGTGTCCGATGACTAAATGTACGGACAACTCATTATCAGGCTAAGCCTCGCGCAAGTTGGGACCTTGGAGGACATTATCCTTATGGACTCAAGTGGAACTAGGTATAGATTCTTGAAGGATCGAATCCCAACGGAGGCTGATCCTTCCGAACAAACACGGTTAACCCAGGTTTACCATACGCTGACACCCGGCAACAAGAAGCCTTCGATGCTTCTTCGTGAACTGCGTCAAATGGCCTTCTCCCATACACTAATCACTTCTGCGAGAGTTGTGGTTGCAGCGCATACCAAACGTCGTACAAGATATCATCGCTGCCATACCTAACCTAGAATTAGACCAGTCAACGGCTGCGGCTGATGCTGTACTAGAGAGATAGCAGCTGGACGCCGTTTCGCCACTGGTTCTAGCTGTAGTGGAAAAGATACTACATATACGAATAATAATGAAATAAACGGTACGAGGAACGGACTCACAGAAGGACTGTCCGCTGGTCGATTGATCCTGTTCTTGTGATGTGTGGTTCCGGTCGATGAGGTGTAGAGAAGCTGAAATGGAGGTCGATTGATCCTGTTCTTGTGATGTGTGGTTCCGGTCGACGAGGTGTAGAGGAACTGAATGGGTGACTGCGACAGTTAACGGACCGCTTGACGATAACTGATAATGCTTGCTTAATTCCGCAGCAACACTCAGAGAACACGTGCGTATTTACGAACAGAATTTTGTATTGTGTGTTAGGTGTTATGCATATTAAAACAAGCTGTACAATCATGTCAGATAAAGTGGATAGAAAAGCAAGACACTACAGTACCCCCCCCCTTCTAGAGTGAAAGTGCAAACTGTTTACTCGATAAAGGTGAGAGTAAAAGCTACTTGTGGTGATTGCTCATGAACTATGAACTCTTTTGTTTTATTGAACACGATATCCTTGT